TGACAGGGAATTGGCAAACCAAGGCTCCTTAGCAATAGGCAGGCTGAGGAGCTCAGATGGTGGGCCAGCATTAGGGAAGAAGAGTAGGATCCATCCTCACATGGGTAAGGGACAGGGTCAGGTAGTATAATGAACAGGATGATGTGGATATAACCAGATTGTTTGTAACCTTCAAAACCCCAGTTTCAGGGAATGAAAATATTTAAAGAATTCACTGAACTCTGAGAAAAAGAAAACAAAACAGATTACTCAATGAAGGTAGACTACAAAAAGCCTAATGAAATGAAATGGGGTCAGTTGGAAAGACAGGTGGAAGGCTCAGAGTTTCCCTTCTCTTTCTTTTCCCTAAAATCTTCTAATTGAGATCCTTATGCAATGCTTCCTCTGTAAAGCTTGAGAACCCTGTACTGCTTTGGGTCTAAAAACCAGGTATGCATTAGAAGAAGAGAAATGGAAGAAAAAAGGAGTGGTCAAGACAAAATAGAGGGAGGGAAGAGTCAAATTAAATATCATGTTCTGCTTGTTCTCCTATTCCACTTGAAAAATCAGCCTTTTTCTTTTTACAGCTGTGTAATCTATGTCACATAGATGCAAAGTTTGGATGCAAACTTGATAAAATTGAAAATAGATGCCTTCTATTTACAGAACTAACATTCCAACTGAGCAATAGTTATTGTCGTTAGTTTGATATCAGTTCTCTGTGATTAAACAGATTCTTGATTAAGCATGCCCTGATCAAGTGGATTTCACTGTGCAAGTGTTTTAATATTATGCATCAGCAGGTGGCTTGAATTGCCCAATTGAACAATTCCTAACTAAAAAAAAAAAAAAAAAAAAAAGGACAAATGAAAACTACACATGAGAAACAATGGAAAGATTATTACAACTTGATGTCATTTCCTTTGAAGAAGAATGAATTGGAAAATCTTAGCTGATCAAGAGGTACATCTGTGTAAGATTTACAATATACAAAATAATGTCCTTACAGTGGCAGTATTGACTGATAGTACTAACAAATCAGTACTTAACATGCTGATCTACTAGACATATTACTTACAACTCTCAACATTTTTCAAGCATGAAAGATTTGAAAAGGCTCTGGACAAGAAAATCTCTATCATTTTATAAAGATATTATGATTTTATTATTATGTCAATGTGAGGTGTCTTCTCTCTCACTTCCATACACTTCATCATAATATTTTCCTCTTCTTTTCTCTGCTGACATTGATTATTTTAATTTACTGTCACAGCCAGAGCACTTGGAAGACCAATAACATTTTTTGTTCCTTATTATAGTACAGAGATAAACATACTTGAACCCATCCCCTCTGACAGTCACTGGATGAGGAAAATAGATTTTTCACCTGATGCATTGATTGTAGCCTGGGTTTCATAAACCAGCAAGAAATGTAATGACCTTTCAGCTATCTTTCATTGCAGGAGAAACCAACAAATCCTTAAATCTCCACCAGAGCATTCATGAACAGTAATGTTAATTTAAGATAATACAACATACAGTAAAAGGTAATACACAGAAGAATCCTTATTAAATTGACTAAATGGAAGGGTATAAACTCATGATGTGTATACTTTAATTTCTATATGACTATTTAAGACAATTTATATAAAATTTTGAGCTACATCTCAATTCTCTATTGCAATAAAAAAGACACTGCTGTAGCATTACAAATACTGATATTTTTAAACCATCATTCACATTTAATTAGTGTAATCATTCTGTAGTCACCCCCAACCTGATTAAAGATTATTCAGTACTCTAGCCATCCTCAGCAATTAAGATCCTTCAGTTTGGCATGGATCATGTGCCATTGCTGTATCATCATTATGCTGTATTTCACCACTGCACCAAGTAAGCACTTTGACATCTAGTCAGCAATTCTACTAAAAGAGCTTTGCTTATTGTCTCCAACCTCACTGTAAGACGGCAATGCTATTAGACTGCTATTTACATTCCTAAACTAACAGAGCTACCTAAGTGACCTGTTGATCTGGTCTCTACAGAAGGAAAATTCTCCATGCCATGCCCTGGATCCTGTATCTCATGGGCCAGATTTTCTTCCACTTACACCAGCCATTCCTCAGCATAGTTGCAGACTTTCTTGGAGGTGTAGTGGTGTAACTCACAAATATGTAAAGAAAGACTCAAAAATACTGCAAATAAAAATTTCAGACCATTAGCCTTTGGAAAAATAAATATATATATATATATATATATGCTTTAACTGCAGCTTTGAATCCCAGTTCTTGAAACAACAAAATGTTTTCAATTCCTCTGATAGCAAAAGAACAGAATTCTGACTAAACCTATTAGCTTTTCTGTGTGCTTATTTTACTTTCACTTTTTGAAGTACAATAAATAAAAAAATGAACTGACAATTCTGGAGTATGAAAACACCATATCATTGTCACTGTGTTCTTACAAATCTGATCCACTCATGCTGCTTAAGCTGCTGAAGCCTTTGAAGTTGGGAAATACTACCATGAACTTCTAGCATTAGTAATTAAGACATAGTGTAGCAAATCAAAGGAGACGTGCTACCTAGCATCTACAGTTCCTTCCTAAAAAAATGCAAGCTGGAAGTCATGATAATAAATCAATTGGTTCTGCCTTTCAGTAGGAAAAGACCTGCAACTTGTTATATAATAACTCAATCCCATCTTGTATCCAAGCTCAATTCCTCTTTCTCTTCATGCTTTATGATCTCTGAATTTCTTTTTCTTAAGACTAATTTTTCTTATAGAAAGGGAGTGGAATACTGTGGGGTTTGGAAAAAAAAAGTCTCTTGCCATTTGTCTTCTCAGCAGGGAGAGCAGAAACATTTCCTTTCCCCTCTCCCCTTACTACCACATTTTTCTTCTTCAAGCTGTTGTTTTCCTGTAAATTTAAGCAGGCTGAGCTTCTGAGGCTGAGCTGAGCTAAAAGCTGAGCTAGCAAAACATAGTATATAATGGTTTATGAGCACAACATGGTTAAGTAACATGTATGAGCCTTACGGAGCCTCATGTTCTGGGTAGTAGACTGACTCCCTTCACATTTCATAGTGTATTGAAAATATAAACTGTACAACATTTCCATAAAAACAAATTTATATGTGTCCTAATTGGAAAGCTCACTAGCATATTAATTTGCTTACTACAGTAAACCATCTCATGATGTACAGATTCTGGCTGAGGTTAAATCATGTGTTTCATTAACACATTTATCTTTTTACTCCTCTATTATACCTTATGGTTTAGTTTTTGCTTCAAAATGGGTAGCAGGATAAGGAGTTATTAAATATATATATATACCTAGAGGGCACTGAGCAGTTTGTTTGATTCTAAGAAGAAAAAAAATAAAACCTTCTGCATAGTGATAATGCTGTTTAACATTTTCAAACCTGTGGGCTTTTATTTCGCCTTTCCTGTCTAAGTTTACATCACTGAACTAAAGTTTTGCATTACTTCCTAGAACTGTGAGCTTCTTCAGCTACTTTAGGTCTGTGCTGGATTTGTAGGTGTCTAGCCCAGCCCACCAATCCAGACGAACCTAATTGCATCTGTGCAGAGTAGCATGTGTTGGTCATTTCCTTCCTCTTTACCTATTTGTATTAGTGGAAAAACCTCAGAGGGAAGATCTAAAAGGAATTAGACAAACTTTGACCCTCTATAATCATACATGTAAAAAGCAGATTTCATTAGATCTCATGTGCATACATCCTGCTCATTGCCTTGGACTCCTTCTCACATTTATGGGTGCATTACTATACAGCTTGTTGGATTTTTCCTGTGAAAACACTCCAGAACAAGCTTCAAACTCCTGCTGGTACTCACAGGTACTATGTGAATAGTGCTGAATGTGACACTACTATCACAGCTTTGATGTTCACTTCCTGCATGATCCTGCACAATCCTCCATAAATTATTTTCCACACCCAGAAAATCTTTTTATTGAAATCATAAGACACTCAGGGCAGAGCATGTTTACCATAATAATTTCTACAGTGTACTTTGCAATAGGACCTCACTTAGAAGTTTTAAACGTGTCTCAAAATGCAGTGCATTTTCTCAGTCTTCCACGGCAAAATTTGGCTTGCCTTCATATACCATAAACTTCCCTATTTTTAAGTTATTATTCCATAACACCTGAATTTAAATACTTCCAAAATGGCAAAACATCAGCATGTTCTCTTGACATCTGAACTGTGATAATAAGTACACAAGGCTACATAACTTTCAGTGTCTGAATGTTTCCTTATATTTCACACGGGTAATGCACAGAAGAGCTACTACACAATTCTGCCACAAGAAATCATAAGGGACAATAACTGTCATCTTCTTTTTAAAACATAAACAAAATGATGAACACTAATGGTATTTTTAAAAGCCCAAAATGACAGCAACAACAACAAAAAGTAATCCACCTCATGATAAATTACACTAATGGCATATATATAATAGATAGATGTATAAATTAAACAAACAAGCCAAGCAAAGAAAAATTAAAAAAAAAATCCACCTCTCCTGTTTTTTTCCTTAAACCTTTTCCATTTCTGGAGAAACTTTGCCAACAAAATAGTAAGATACTACAATGAAATGAAGCACGCAATCAAATACGATCCAGTACATGGAAAGAGTCGTAGTATTCATTCAAGCAAGAATGCCTATAATAATACAGACTCACTTGGTTGGTCTAGACACATCTTTGTACCCAGCAGATTATTATCCCTGATGATAGCAGAGGGGAAACTTGTTACTTAGGTGCTCCTGAACAAAATACATGATCATACCTCACAACTTCTCTTGTGTATGGCCTTTTGGACAAATTTGGAATTATATTTCTCAACATAAACAAGACCACTTTCCTCTGGTTCAATCAGATGAAAATAAATGAATAAATTAATTAATAAATAGACAGATAGATAAAATCTTTTAAAATTGAAAAGACATTTTCAACTGACATTTTGAACTGACAAATACTTCCCTTATGCTTTTCAGGCAGCTTCCCAGCCCAGCATGAAAAACATATATTTAGCAGTGACCCTTATTCAATTAAAAACAAAACTATGATTCACGGGTAATCAGGGAAATTCACAAACCAAACGGATGCATGGATTTAAAATGCAGCAGAGACACTGTACTGAATATAAACACCCCAAATTTCTGCTTAAATACTGGTATTGGCAAGCTGGTGAGTTGAGCTTTTAAAGTTAAACCCTATTTTCCTTTAAACCTTAAAATGCCTTCAAAATAAACTAGCAATGAAAATGACGGAAATGCTTTTCTGTAAATATTACAAATACATATTATTTTCCTTTAAAAATCAGAAATAATCCAATAGAGACTTATGACACCCATTTAACTAAACCAGTGTTTAATAGAAAAATAAATATTACTAGACAGATGTCTTTTAGCCTGAGAATGCCTTGTTTCAGGAAAATTTAATCCTGTTAAAAACCCAAACCAAAAGGATTGCATTGTTTCTGAAGGTGGATATAAACACACATGCATACGCATGTAGTTGAGTGCATGTCACTGTCATTCATTCATCGTATTCTGCAATTTTATTGGTCACAGATAAAAAACTATAGCTAGTTGTAATACAATATCTTAAGTTTCTTTTTCCACAATAAGGCTGTAGACTAAGTCATATATATATATGGAATACATTTGAATTCAGTTAGGGCAACAGAATCAAAAAAATGATTTTGATGTCTGAAACAGGTCATGACTTTCCAAGAGCAAAATGTTAGAAAACCATCTTGATCTCAGCCATTCACTATAACCTTCTACCTTATACCTAATTTATGTAACAATAATTTCAGTTAAAAATTGATAACAATGAGATAAATTTAGTCACAAATTTTAGTCATATTTTTTTTACGATTAAGATACTAAAAAATCACAAAATCCTCCAGCATAGAACTGCCTTTGCACAGAAATTCCCACTTGTAATGTTCAAAAATCTTCTTGCAATCTTAGTTTTTGAAATAGGGTATTTAAATATGATTCTATTTTCCTAAATGTTTATTTCCTTGTTAGTGTTTCCTGCAGTACCCTTCAGTTTTGGATTTAAATATATCTTCTTTCTCTTATCAGCTATTTTTTACTTATTAATATCCACATAATCTCTACCTACATGTATTTCATACGATTGTATTCTGTGAATTTCCTTATTGTGGCTGTATGCCATTATCCTTTAATTACACTCACTGGACTGTAAGTTTAAATAAGGTTTTCTTCACTGGTGACTGAGAAAGACTGGTCTTTTTGACTGAATTCCTCTGATGAAGAGCTTGTGTTGAGGGGGTATATCAAATTCAATATGGAATTTAAATTTTCTCTACATGAGATGTTTTGATACAGAAATAAACATGCTACATAATCCTACCATGACTATAAAATACACATGTTCAAATGGCCTTCAGGGCTGCCACTTAAATTTGGTAAAGAACTTAGATACCACTTAAAAACATTTTATAACGTCATGCTTTTCTTCACAGAAAGGACACATAGGTATATTTCAAAACCTTGAGAATGCTTCTTTTTTTTGTAAAGAGAAATGCTTTGCAATACAAAATATTATTAGGGTCAGTTTATGGTAAAATGGGAACATTGGTCAGATCTCTTCCTTTCTGATTTTCAGCCACAGTGGAGTAGATCCAAACCTAAAATCACCATGACATCATTCTATGCCATATTTGAATGAATTGCTCCAGTTACCAGCCTGATTTACTCACTGCTTGGTTAAAGCTGAGTGATTGTTGTTTTTGATACTCACCTGTAAGCCTTTCAAAAATGAAATGCCATTTTCCTGATTTTCACAAATGCATCTGTAAGGTACAAGCTTTAAATATGCAATAAGATACTGTCCTGGGTTTAGAAGTAGCAGTCATTTTTCTCTTTCTTGGTAGCTGGTGCAATGCTGTGTTTTGACTTACGGGCTGGGAACAGAGCTGATAAAAATGATGTTTTGGTTTGGCCAAGGACTTTGTAAGCCTCATACTCTGCCAGGGAGGAGGGAAGCCGAGAGGAAGCAGAGATAGGACACCTGACCCAAACTGACCAAACAGGTATTCCATACCACAGCACGTCATGCCCAAGAGGTAACGGAGAGTTACCTGGAAGGGCAGAGTGGACTGCAGGGTTGGAGGAGGTATCGGTTGGTGCTTGGTCGGGCTGGGGGGAGTGAGTTATCGGTCACCTGGTGATGAGGTGTTGTATTCTCTTCCCTTGTTATTTCCTTTATCATTATTATTATTGGTGGTAGCAATAGTGATTTGTGTTATACCTTAGTTACTAAACTGTTCTTATCTCAACCCGTGGGAGTTGCATTCTTTTGATTCTCCTCTCGGTCCCTCCAGGAGTAGGGGGAGGGCAAGAAGGGGGGGAAGTGGGTGAACAAGCTGTCTGGCTGGGGTTAAACCACGACAGATACCAAATTGCTGAAAACAGATGCCTGTGTTTTCAAGTAATCTACTTCCCTCCCACTTCTAGAAAAGTATTTTTCTTTCCCTTCAAAGATATTGTTACAGAGTAAACATGTAAACTGTTATGTTTACAATATGTCACAGATAATAGAGCCTCAGCATTCTGAAACAGTACTCAGCAGAGGAAGAGAAAAAACCATAGAAAACTTGCTGTAAGAAAAATCTCAGTGAAAGCCATGTAGGTCTCTGGAAGATAATACTCAGTTGCAACACGCCTTGAGAGTTGACAGCATTTGTAAATAAAAAAATCAAGGCTACTAACAAGAGGAAAGAGAAACAAGAAAGTCTAAATCATCCTAAATGTCTCGCAAAAGAAGTAAGAGTCCTTCTGAAATTATGCTTAATATATAATAATGAAAAAAAATCTGATTTTTTACAGAAAGAATTTCTGCCACCTCGAACAAAAAAATAATTTTATCTTTGAAAAAATAGAGGAATGAAACAAAGCAAACCGCAAAAAACCCCAATACAAACAAACAAAAAACCAAACTAATAATGTGCCTTGCCCTATGGAGAAATGAAAAAAAAAACACTCTCTCTATGGAAAAATGAAAAAAAAAAAAAAACCAACAGAAATTTGATCAGAACTTGGGGGAAGGGGGGGAGGAGAGAAATCAAAATCTGTTCACAGATTGCAACAATGGTCTTGTGGGAACATGTGCATGTGCTTAAACCTTATGATTCCTTCCTCTCTGGTTGTGAGCAGAGTTATGCATATGCTGAGGCATTTGCAAAATCAGATTCTAAAATTAGAATGCACCTAACTAAATTCCTGTTCTGTGCCTAGTCAGTTAATATCCTCCAAAGCAGTCACAATTTCACCTTCACATATGTTATGGAGCTTATTTTTTAAACAAAGAGACTCTGTCTAAAATGAAAAAGAAAGAGAAAAGACCATCCTCAAGATTTTCTGATCCCCTGAAGGGTTTATACCTCTTCTCCTCCATTTTTATACACAAGGAAACATCTTTAACAAATATTCATATTTTCCAGTTAACCCACCAAAATCCTTGCAAAATCACAAGTTAGGATATGCATCTCTTTCAAGGAAGTGACATGACAGATGTTAAATCTGACAAGACCCATTTTTCCTTACAAGAAAATATTCATAAACATTTCCTGCCCCAATGATTCATTAGAATTTCATCTTCAAATAGATCTTGCTTCACATCTAAGGATGTCAGGGATGTTATATGGTCTTGGGTTTAAATTTAAAATGCATCAAGACAAGGAAGGAGATAACATCTTTTTTAGGTAAAACAATTAAAAAAAAATACTTTCAATATCAAAGTAGACTACTGACTACCTGCACAGGCTTCACTTTCTGCTTGAAGGGCTGAAAATACATCAAGTAAATAGAGTGAAAGCATGCCACTACTCCCAAAATATCAAACACATGAATATATAAAATATCCAAGCTTTGACACACACACACAAAAAAAAAACACTGTATGTAAAAACCTCCTATTTCTTCCTCTGCAGCTCCACCTTGGATCTCTCATACCCCTGCCTCTAGAAGCACTGACAGCCATGCACTCTTGAGAACGGTCTCCAGAGCTACAGAAAGTCCCTCAGTTTTTCTGTGTAGAGGAGTTGAATACAGGAAGAAATTCTTCTCAATAGAAATAAATAAACAGAACAACAGATTTAAAAAAAAAAATCTTTTCTGCACTGAGTACTGATGTGGCCATGTTCAGGATGTACCAACATGAGCAAGAGCCTTTAAATAGCTTCCTAGACGCACAGGAGAAACTAGCAGCCAATGAAATGAATGAAAGGTAATCAGAAAAAAAGATTTATTTAAGCCTGCAGAAGATACAGAAGAACTGGGGGTTGAGGGGAAAACAAAATAGTCTCTGGGGCTTAGAGAGGAGGTGTCCAGGTAAGGACAATTCAAAGACTTCGGAGGTTTTTTTAGTTTTGGAATAAAAGAGCTTGTTTGTAAGATGAGTCTGTGAAGATCCCACTGCTCTACTAATTAGTGTTCTGCTAATTAAATTGCCACATTAGTGAGGCAGATGTTGTATGTGTTAGCAGGATTAAAAGACACCTATACCAGTGGGCTTTTTTTTATAGTTTGCCAAGGTTGGAGCATCTATTGATTAGATGCTGCAAACATCCCTGGTAAATACTTCACTCTAGTGAACTATCACTTTCTCTCAATGTCACAAAGGCAATAAGCAGAAGCTTATGTCTGAAAAAATATCTGTGGTTAGTATTAGATTCTGTGGTAAGAATCTAATATTGCAAGGTTACATTATGTTACTGAAAATTACTGTCTTCACCCCGAAATCTACTACACTGTGTCAGTGCCTTAAGGATGTGTAACATACTCCTTGAAAGACACAACAGCAACAACAAACCATCTCTGGACTATGCTTGCAGGAACACATCCATATTTCTCATGCAGTCACCTTCAGACTCAGTTACTAATAAAGACCACCCTGTTGTGGTTGGCAAGAGCTTCAAACGCTCTGACTTCTGGGACCTTTCCTTACATCAATGGATAAACATACTGATATCTAAGTAGTACTATATAATCTTTCAATTCATTGTGTTGTCTCTTTGAAGAAATATTGTACATTCTAGCCCTACGCTTCCAAGTCCTTTTTTGTTCCCAGCCCAGATGACCTTCTAAAGTTCACTTTTCTTCCAGTATTACAGTGGTCTCATGAACAGTTCAA